ATCACTAACACAAACGCTGTAACCGTTTTTAATTCAAATTTTGATAACGTTAGAATATTAAAATTTTAAACGTATAATACCGGTTTATCTTCGAACGATTTTTGTTATTTTGTTATTAGTTTATTTTATATAAAAAAATCATAGTAGTTTGAAACATCACACTATATTACCTACTTAAAATACAATAGTGTGTACACAATATGAAATTTTAAAAATATTCAAGTTAATTGTAACCTACCTCCTATTTATGGCACAAAATAATACTTATTATTCTTCAGTACATCGTTTTTTAATTATAACTTACAAGTTATAACAAATGATAATATTATATACGATTATATACAATTAGTTATAAAAATATTACCATACTCTTCAGTACTCGGGTTTCACAAATATTCAAGATATTTTGTGTGTTTACTTCGTCAAAATTATTCAAAACTTAACTGACTTTTATAGTTGTATACTTAATTCTAAAAAAAAGTTCAAATTCAATTTAGGGATACTAAGTATATTTATGTGGGTACCTTTATAATATAGTTTAATTTAGCAAGAAACTTCTTCCTAAAAGACATAAAATATTTTTATGAAATATTTTTCAAAGTGAACACTAGTTTAGTGAAAATATTGGTATACCACTCGTTGTCTCACTTGGTGAAAAAGGGAACGGGGAAGGTATAAAAAAAAGTATGTTTAGCCTCTGACTACAGATTTGTGACCTTTAATAACTGACTTGATCGGCTTTCGGGGTACGATGTATTTAATGATATCCCGATAAAGTTAATAAATCAAAAAGGCTCCCAAAGAGTTGAACATATTATCTATACGCTCTATCTATAATACTATCTACCGATGACTTATATTTTAGGTGACTTTTTCTTACCTTTTTTTTAACAAACTATGTAGAAAATATAAACTGAGGGTTTTCGTACTTTAATGCAAAGCATTCAGAAAAGCCATCATAATATTAAAATATCAGTGCACTCTCTATTGAAATAATATCGATCCGTGCTTCAGCCAATGGACCTGTCAACGTTTTTTTGTTATTTAAATATATATCTGAAGTAATAAGCCTAGCTATTACTTTTTTATACTTTTTTGAAACTACCATTCTAAATATTCTAAAATTCGAGGTTTAGATTATTTTGGTTAAGATTTGATTATGTTTTAGATTCCAAGCGGGCCATTGCTTTTGTAATAATGCACGCCTACTTTAGTTCTATTGTTGTTTGATATTTTTAGCTTCAACTATAGAAGTTAAATTAGCTATACTTACTAAGATTTCTATAATCAGCCATATTTACATCTTTTGAGTTTTTCTTTCTATTGATTAATTTATAATATAATATCTATATTGATTTGTACAAATCAGTTTGCATTATTTTATATTATTATTTTTTTTATTTTTTTTACTAGTATTTAAAAAAATTGTTTTGTAATCATATAAAAACATTAAAAACAATAAATTGTCCCCGTATGTCTATTATCTTCTGTAGATCGGAAATTCACTACACATCGATTTCATTTTTTCGAATACCACTTGAGTTTTTTAGACAATTGAAAAATGCTACAAAAATACATAGATGAATAACAAACAGTCGCATTTCAAACAAAACCTAGACCATTTTTGCGTACACCTACTCAGAATCGTATTTTATATGATTTATCATGGTCCCTGCAACTATTATACAATCACTCGCTCTAGTGATTGATTCCAATTGGCACTATTATTGCATTTTTTTTTGTAAAGTTGTTTTCCTTAGAAATATCTTTATTTTTTTTCAACTCACATATTTTTATTTTCTAAAAAGTAAAATTTTGTTTTATTTGGGTATTACTATGTATGGATATTTTAAATATTCTACTGAATTAAATAAAACTAAATATTAAACTACCATAAAACTTAATAGTGAATTTTCAAGAACTATAAATTATAATAATATTCAAATTAACAAATTAGGTTCTCAACACTACGTCAATATTATTTTAACTATATTATACCTCATATGTCGTTCAAATATAAACATCGATTTTCAAGCAGTATCAAATTAAAAACTCTATAAAAGCTTTAAAATAATCATTTTATTCTTGACGGTATCTAATATAACCACAATAATAATATACAATTTTCAAGTGCTCACGACAAGCTCTGAAATAGTGTCATAAAAATGTTCCAGTTAACGGCTTCCACACTTACATTTGTTTTAAATTATGTTATCTTTAAAATCCTTTTATTTATCAGTTAATTCCTATCAATTTTCATGTGTAACCGATTTCATATTATCATGATAATATTGATAATGTATATTTTATATATAATGCATTTCAATGTTACGCGTGCAACAATAAACTAAACCAAGTTTATTATTTTACATGAATTCCATTAACTGTTTAACGATTTGAGTATTTGACATACACACAATGCCGGTTGACCCAAAAAATGTCTACATTCCAAACAAAAAAAGATATTTTAGAAATAATGTTTAAAATTAAATGCATTAATATATTGTCGATTATAATGCTATAGAGTATGATTGTACGAACAAAGTGGAAATCATACCAAAAATGTAGACAAAACGATAAAAGGTGAAATTCAAGTAGGAACTTTATGAATATTGAGTCTTTCCTACTAGACTAACTAGGGGCCTATACTGGCTACACTAATCGATTCAGGTATTCTTATTATAGTATGATTAACAGTATTTACCGTTTTGTGGTCTTAAGTGAAATAAAATACTTAAATAAAAAACCAAAATTAAGTTATCTTTTGAACAATGCTAGGTAATGTATATATTTTATTTTACAATATATAGCAATACCATAGTTTTTATGATATCTATCATTATTCATTAAATAAAGAGTTTCAATTAATTTTTTTATACCTATATATTGTAATGTACAATTATTTGTATGACACAATTCATTTGACACTGAACTAAAAATAATAGATAAATAAGTACAAACTAAATAGTAGTAGGATTTATATTTTATAATCAATTGAATTTATTTTGAGTAAAATAACAAAATATATAATTGCCCATTTATTTAAATGAACCTATTATAGTTTTAAATTTCTAGTATGGTTATATTACAATTTGCTGAGTAGAATAGAAATAGATACATTAATTATTGTCTTCTTTTTATTTTGAATAGTGTGAATTATCATAAGATATTTTACCTATATACCTACTACAATATTATTCCAATTCAACATACCTAATATAAAATGAAATCTGAATAGTATAGCATTTTATTTTTAAGATTCTAACTTCAGTACTTATGCAGTTATGAGTAGGTATCGCCATAAAAATCAGGGATGAATAAATTATTTTATACTTATAATATTTGAAATTTTAATAAGTACTTTGCCTTTGGTTTTAAAGATTAAAAGTTTGTATTATTACTCTGATTTCTGCAAACTTTAAAAAATGGTTTCCTTTACGAGGAATTATAGATTTCTATTTATTGACAGAGATATATTGAGCTAGGTGAACCAAAACCATTCAATTTACTTTCAAATATTAGAGCATATGAAAGGCATATAAAAAAACAATATACAAACTCAAAATAATATGATGATTGATGACTTCAACAGACCCTAATTCGAATTAAAATTCTAAATTAATAAGTTATACACAAACAGCCATTATACGTAGGTACCTACCAATATCAAAATAGTATAACTACCCATAAAGATTTCACATTTATAAATAAGTATACAATATGCAAATATATTAAACTATGCATTGTGATTTAATTAAAAACAGTACTTTAATTAATAGTCTATCTTTATACATTTTTTCATGGTAAAAATGTAAAATATTGTAATATCATTTATTCAATACAAAAATATTAACAAAATGTTAAAATGAATAATTCATTTCAATATAGTTAAAATATTTAACTATTAAATACTTGTTAAGGTAGAACATAGAAGATGTAGAACATACTTACGATAACATATTTTTAATCTAAATTGTGTTTTAATTATTTAATATAACCATATTTCAAAAATACCTTGGTACATTAGTACTTAATTGATGTCTTCTCGTTAAATTTATCACTTTATTCCAATGATAAAATGGGAGAAAGTAGGCAATTACTCTGCCGTATAGTTGGTGACGATTGTACATCATCATTGAGTAAGTCACTGTAATGTATATGTTAAACTTGAATTCAATGATAAATTATTCAATCATTCCATACGAAAAACGGTTTAGAGCAAAAATGATCTGTCAGCCTATATCACTAAGTATATTATAGCTATGATATATTTTAATATTTATTATATTATATAAATTGCTATTGTAGTAATTTTTTTCAAGCTATCAAATATCTATAAATAACTCAAAAAGAATAAAAAAATTTAAAACTCGTACCATGTACTTACAATGTATTTACAATTATTAATTTTTAAATTAGGTACAGCAAAATAAGAAAATCGGTTCAGTCGAAAATTAGTTTTGCATAAAAATTTCTGTTTTTTTTAATTATTTTTATATTATAAGCCATTATTTTAAAAGTTACCTGAAATTTTGAATTTTGACCTCCCAAAAGTACCAACTAGATTCACTTTCCTACCAGAAAAGTCATCGAAGTTGAAAATCCCAGCATTTTTCCTACTATAAAACATGTACAAATACACAAAAAAGGCACATCGTTATCAAATCAAAACATTTATTGCTCCGCCCAGCATCTAAAAAATAACACATTTAATTAGAGAACTTTGCTCCTTGACTGAGATGTTTATTATACAACTGTTGGCATTAAATAAAACCTATCCATTATAGGTTATTTATTTTTATTTATGCTATCGATATTTTGTGTTTTGAGTTCATCTCTACTAATTTGTAAGAAAATATTATCGGAAAATAAACAACCATGTTCTAATTATGATTTGATAATAATAAAATTAAGAATATAACATTTTACATTACTGTAAATACGAACATTGTAGTGTTGTGTAAAAGTGAATTATTACGTGATATTTACTTTATTAAATTATGTTACGGAGTTTCAAGTATTATAGCGGTTTTACGATAGCCCGAAAAAAACACGTAAGGAAAACATGTATCCTTTGAATACATCATATTAAAATATTATAGTATATTGTGTCGAATGTGTTTCTAAAATAGTGTGTTTAATGCGTTTTAATAGACCGGGAAAGTGATAGCCATAAGAAGAGAAGATCAATCAGTATGGGAAAGGAGAGCCCCATTCGCACCAGCCAATGTGGCCGAATTAACCAAGAACGGCGTCAAAGTAATCGTCCAACCGGCAAATAGAAGAGCTTATCCCGTTCAAGTATAAATTATATAATGTTTTAATGTAAAATATAAATGAAACGGAAAATGTGCTATTTCACGTCGCGTGTTATTTATATAATATGCATATTTATATACTATGTATATTTTGTTATGAATGTTTAATGATGCGAATGATCCGTGATATTGTACATTTAACCGTCCAAGAAAAAAAACCTTTATGGCTTTATTATGTTAATGAAATGTAAGAAGAAGCTTAATACTTGAGGTTTTGATTACAAGACTTATATTTATAGTCGTTTGTTTAAATGCATGATTTAAGCATTTCATTATAAATTACAATATGATACCTCGTAGTATATAATATTATAGATATGTACCAATAATAATAACGTGACTGTGCAGTGGCGTATATTTGATTGTTATATGGTGGGGGGGGGGGATAAAATAATATTATACACAATTAATGTTTATCGGAGTGCTTCACCCAACACAATAAGTCTTATCAAACACCATACCTAGTTAAAATATTCAGAGTTCACACTACCATTGTGTATATTATATGTATATTTACTAGGTTACATTATGTCGTCTAATTTACCAATAAAAAATGAACTGGAGTAGTGTAAACCAAATATATTAAGAATTTAAGACTACCCACAAACAAATTAAATCATAAAATTGAGTTACCTTTTAGATTACTATTGCAGTATGCCAATTGGTATGATGAAATACCTGAAGTTTACGAGTCACAGTACGACACTCTAGTCATTGGACATTTTGCACAATTATGTATATGTTTATGTAGAAATGATTTAATAAACAAAAAATAATAGAGAATAAAATTATGAATTAAAATAATATTTCGATAATGCAGGTATGCAAGTATGCCATTTCAAAAATTGACACACACATAAACATATCCAAGGGGTACTGGTCACAGAACAGAGACAATATTTTACTAATAATGATTATTGATTAACAATATTTCATATATATTATCTACACAAAAATAGTTTCATGTGAATAAAAAACGTTTATTTGTATACCTCCTCGGACAAAAAATTAATGTTTTTGTGATTTAAATTCATAATTGACAAATACTTAATTTTATACAAGTTTTTTATACAAGTCATTTTCATAAAGTGTATACTGTATATTTTTCATTCCAAACATTTCAAAACTGAATTTGTTTGTCCTTGGGAAGAGGATTTATCCCGAAATCGCCTCCCCCCCCCCATTTGTACACCATTGTGACTGTGTATAGCCAGAGTATAGTGTACGATCTAACAGTTTTCGATTTTCTCTTTTTATGTACATGAGTATCTTAATACACGTTAAAAGCGACGACCGGCCTTGACCTCAATATTATTATACTAAAAATACAGAACTTGGTTACTTGTACCATTAATTAATATCCCACATTCAAATAGGCATATGTTAGCGCCGGAGCAGTGATACAAGAAGACATATCCGAGGCGTCAGTGATATTCGGAGTGAAACAGGTCCCTATTGATTTGTTGCTACCGAATAAAACCTACTGCATGTTCTCGCACACAATCAAAGCACAAGAAGCCAATATGCCCCTGCTGGATGCCATCTTAGAAAAAGTACAGCATTTAAAATTAGTGTACCTACCTATACTTCTAAGTAGTTATGATGTTCATAACAAACTTTGTAATTAATGTATTGACATACGTATTTTGTTTTTGTAAAGAATATACGGCTAATAGATTATGAAAAGCTGATGGATTCTTCCGGAAATAGAGTAGTGGCTTTTGGGAAGTACGCCGGGATTGCAGGTATCATAAATATTTTACACGGTTTGGGATTGCGATTGCTAGCTCTTGGACACCATACACCACTCATGGTAAGTCGGTAATCCGGGTTTTTTTTTGAAAAGTCTTTATAAATAAATGTAAATGAATCTACATCGTAAATCATCATTGAATTCACAGCACATCGGGCCTGCCCACAATTACAGGAATTCGATGATGGCCAGACAAGCGCTAAGGGATGCCGGGTACGAGATCGCGTTAGGCATGATGCCTAAATCGATAGGCCCGATTACGTTTGTCTTTACGGGGTACTGTATGAGTGTTTTTTTTACTAAGAAAAAAAATGAATACTAGAAAACTGTTATTATTATTAACATGCCTAATGTCAAAGGTCTGGAAACGTATCGCAAGGTGCACAAGAAATATTCCAAGAGTTGCCACACGAGTACGTGCCACCGTCTATGCTCCAAAAAGTTGCAGAACATGGAGGTAGTACAGTTTGATATTGTACAGTGTAAAATAATTTATGATGGTGAACTATTTATAAATTATACACATTTATTACATGCATGTATATACTATTATCCGATTCCAATTATATACGAAGAATTGTTGTTAATATCTTAGGCAGCACAAAGTTTTACGCGTGCGTTGTCACGCGTAAAGATTATTTGGAGAGAATTGATGGCGGCGGGTACAATCAAGAAGAATATGAACAATATCCCTCCAAATACAGATCAACGTTCAACAAAAAGGTTTGATTTGTCTCGAAGTTGTCTACTTTATAACTGTTAATTATATAAACTTCTAACAGTTTATTATTATAGTAATGATAATAAAGGCATTGTTAGTAATAAACTAATAACACATGATAATATATGCACGTATATTATTATCATATTATACATAATACATTATCCGTTCGACGCAGATCGCTCCGTATGCTTCGGTCATTATGAACTGCATATACTGGGCTCCAGATTGTTCCAAGCTATTGACGGTGCCGGATGCCAAGTCGCTGCTGACTCCTTCTCAGCTACCGTGGATACCGATATCCGAAGGCGCACCTGGACTTCCACACAGGCTACTGGGCATCTGTGATATATCTGCAGATCCGGGCGGTTCTATAGAGTTCATGAACGAGTGCACAACCATTGACAATCCGTTTTGCCTGTATGACGCACATTTACACAAAGACACCAAAAGGTAAGGGGAGTGCATGTATGAAATGTAAAAACTGACAAGTCGCGAATGAGATGAATTTTAATCAATTGTATGCGTGTCCGGTACAACTAACAGTTTTAGAGGATCGGGAGTGTTGGTATGCTCGATAGATAATATGCCGACGCAGCTGCCAATGGAATCCACAGACTTATTTGGAAACTTAGTACTTCCATACGCCATGAATATACTTCAATCGGACGCCACTAAACCACTGGAAGATCATGCTTTTTCGCCGGCGGTTCTAGGAGTGAGTCTATCACACTCATAATGGTGTACTATTTTATTATATTATATTGACAAAGATTCGTCGTTTGTAGGCTATCATCGCCAGCAACGGATTGCTGACCGAACGGTTTGAATACATCAAAGAGTTGAGACTAGCCAATAAATTTGCTTCCTTTAAGTCCTCCAACGTTGATCACACCGGCAAAAGAGTATTGGTGCTCGGTTCAGGCCATGTGTGTGGACCGTTAATCGAATATCTCTTAAAAGACGAATCGTTAATAATCGTGCTCGGTAACAATTTATAAATTATAATTATCAGTTGTTATTACTCATTGCTATAGGACGTCAGAATATACTCGTATTTAATGTGTTTATTTGTACAGGTTCTGTGGACGTCAGTGGATCCAACAGCTTAGCAAACAAATTCAATAGAGTTCAGCCAATTCAAATAAATATTTTAGAGGACTTGAGTTACTTAAAAGAGCTTGTGGAACAGTCGGATTTGGTTGTGTCGCTCCTCCCTAGTCAATTTCACCACTTGGTGGCTGAACAGTGTATAGAATTGAAAACAAACATGGTCACGGCTTCGTATTGTTCGGATAAAATGTCACAGCTGCACGATAGGTAGGTACCATCGAAAAATGCAGGGCCGAAAAAATTTGTCTAAAATTTAAAAATGTCTATCCTCATATAATAGAGCGGTCGAAGCCGGTATAACCATTGTCAACGAAGTTGGCTTGGACCCGGGCATCGACCATCTGTTGGCCATGGAATGCATCGATCAAATACACGAAGAGGGTGGTAAAATCGACTCATTTGTATCATATTGCGGAGGTTTGCCGGCTCCCGAATACTCCAACAATCCACTGAGATATAAGTTCTCGTGGTTTCCTCGTGGGGCGCTTGTGAACACCGTAGCTGAAGCCAAATACCTACGAGATCACGAGGCAAGTATACAAAATGGTTTTAGCGCATCGCTTCATTTCACACTTTTTTTTGCATAATTGAACCAAATGTTATAGATAATCGATATCCCTGCCGGAGGTGCTCTAATGAAGAACACGACAGAACTGGATTTCTTACCAGGATTTTCGTTTGAGGGTTTCCCAAACCGAGACAGCACCCGATACGCCAAACTTTACGGCATAGCAGCGGAAGTACAGACCATGCTCAGGGGTACGATACGGTACAAAGGTATGATCGGTATTCACAAAAACATAAAACAATCATATATGACAAATATTTTCTGACGTTAATTGTATAAATGTCACGAACATAGGTTTTTCTGAGATGATGATGATACTACAAAAGCTACGGCTTATCGAGTCTAAAGACCACGCAGCCCTCCATCCAAATGGACCAGACATCACGTGGGTAAGTGTCTATAGCTAAAAATAATCTTATGATGGTGTGGTTGTAAGCTTACAACTTAAAATGAAAATTTTACTGAACCAATAACTGGTATTATAAAGTATTGACGTGATATGCGTTTTTCAGGTACCGGACAATATTATGAATTATATAAATATAGGTATTTAAACGAAAACATAAAAACTACGCCGTATATTAATTAATTTAGTTTTACTATTTTTTGTGAACAAATAATAATATAATATACTTTTCTTGCATTTTTTCTACTAACTATAATAAAATATAGAAGTCTTCATAATTTTATCAGTTTTATGTCGGCTAAATACCTATACATACCAATTTAACAGATATCGGAAAAAAATAGTGTCAACTCAGCTCTAGTTGCATAATATTATGATTATACGTCTCGATTATCGGTTTACTCTACTGTATAGTAGGTTTATTTAATATTATAAATACGTTTGTTTTGGCACAGTGTCAGTTGATTTGCACGCTATTGGATATCAATGACATCGACATGTTCTACGAAAATATGTTGTCAAAAGTAGCCGATAAGATCGGTACATCAGTCCTGGACAAAGTCATGGATCTTGGACTGTTAACAGAGGAACCAGTCCTAAAACTCGGCTCGCCGTTGGACACATTTTCACAGTTTATCGCTTCAAAATTGTCTTTAAGTGAGTATAATATGTTATAGGATTATAGGAATATTATAGCGTATTTGTACCTATATAGTATTATATATAATTACATTACCCGTATTATATTATCATTGTATAGTCAATGCGTGAACTAAATTTTAAAAAGTGATTGTTATTGTTTAATTTTTATTTAAACTGTTCCTCAATTGAAACGTAAATTCTTAATACATTTTTGCGATTTTTCGGTACAGTTTGTAGCAATGTAGTTAGTTTTCTTATTTGTTTTTCTAACTCAAGCATTGTTATATTGCATAATGGACGCGCGTAGTTATTGTAATATTGTATACTGCATCGGAAACTTGCAATCGTTTTTGTTCACACAGATAAAAACGAAAGGGACCTGGTGGTGTTGTACCACGACATCGGAGTTCTGTATCCCGGCAATCGGTATGAAAAGAAATTAGTAACACTTGTGTCTTACGGCGAAACCAATGGATACACAGCAATGGCGAAGACAGTTGGAATACCGACAGCAATAGCAGCTACTATGGTCCTCCAAGGTGAACAATAATCAAAGTTATCAGTTGTATCTACTCGTAAAATGACAGTGATCTTAAATCAATCATATTATATAGTTGGTACTAACTTAAGTCCTTAAGGCTTAAACGAGAGAAAACGAAAGATACCTACCCAGTTTCTTTCTACGATAACTTCCTTCACTCTGGTTTCATTTTTTTAATCGTGGTTTTTGAAAATTACTTGATTTAAAAACAAATCTATAGTAATTTTTTTGTGGAAACTGGAACCGACGAACCGTCAAAATCTGTCGACTAGGTTTTTAAACAAGTTTAAAGTTCAGTTGTTGATGCCCGTTATGTGTTCACAATTCAAATTTAGTTATGATCCACAAACTACTAAGCTATAATAAACTTATTAATTATGTAGTGGCTGTTAGCAAACAGTAATTTAAATATAATTTTTTATACTAAATTAATGTAATATAGATACATAATATTATAAAAGGTATCTCAATGAGACGAGTTATTGGTATATTTTTTTTTGACACGACAAAAAAATGAAAAACAAATGTAGCCGTCCAATATAATATAATACAGCCAATTTTACCTACATTATTTTTAAAAATCAAATTAAAAATATGAACTGAGAGTTGAGACGTAGATAATGGGATAGTGGGACACTGTAATGCTGAATATAATTTATAAGTGAAGTCATTAGAATGACTATATGGTAATTTATTCCACTATACAAATAATTTACATATACACCTCCCACAGCACAGTAGCCTACCACAATAATTATTTAGATAGTTCGAATTTGCAAATACACAATTCCTCGAGAAGTCACGGGACACCGATTATAAATATTTAAGGTTATGTACACTAATCTTTCAAAATTGTCATTACAGGAGAAATACAAGCCAAGGGCATGGTGTTGCCGTTTACCCCGGATATTTACAGGCCCATGTTGACAAGATTAAAGCTCGAGGGAATATCTGCGCAAACCACGAACGTCCGGTCATGATTTTATTGTATTTTTCATCGGAAATAAAACTTTTTATTATATTTGTCCCAAAACGTCATTATGATGTGATACTTGTTATGTAAATTTGTATTGCGTAGCTTGTTCATGCATACAATATATAATCAACATTAATTATTATATTATAATCATTACTCGACCACGTATGACTAATATCATATCGTGCAGTGGTGATATTTCTGGAGAGGCAAAAAGTTGACCCCTACCTCTTTTGAAAGTAAAAAAAATATGTAGTTAAAATTATTTTTTCTGCGAAACGTAGTTGTTGGTTTATAATTTTAGTTAAAAAATTTAAAAAAATTATTCAGCCCTCCGTTAGGTTTGAAAAAAAATGTAGTTTCTAAACAACACGAAGGAATATTTGGGCTTGAGAGACTCACGCCTATATTATGCAATATCTAAACAGGCACCAAATTGTTGCCTCTTCGAAAATTGAATGCTAATAAAATTACAAACCACTATACAGATCTCGTGTGGCGATTTATTGAACGTCTGAACGAGTTTGATATTACATTATTTTAACGAGTGTAAATTATTATTCTTATACAGTTATACATTAAAATTATATTATATATTTACGATTTATCTAATAACCATAGTAACTTTATTTTACCTATAATTAATAAATTATTATAGGTACCAAAAACATTTCTGTGAAACAAACTATTCAATTGTATGTTATTGTTGAAAATAATGTTAGGTATGTGATAAAATTACGTCAACATCTAAAATTTAGACTCTAAATAATTCACATAATTCACCTATAATATGGTCTATCCATTTGATAAACCGTCTATAGTCTACATGTTCTATAGACCATGTAATCTAACCTTAGGTATCCGTCCTGTACTATCGTACAATAAAGGCTGCATCCGAATGGGTTCCCAATAAATTATTGAAACCTGCCTAATTGCTATGTTGAAACGAAAACACAGTTTGTATGCATAGTATGTTGACACTTTGACAGTCCTAAGTCTGTATAAAATGGGAAGGAAAATTAAAAACCATAGACTTCTATAATAAGACTATAACCTTTTGGTTTTTTCATGCACTACACGTGTATTTTTTATAACATGACGCAACAACCAACAATGGGATACTGACCTAGTCCCATGGGACCACTTGTAAACTGCTCTGAATTTATATTTAAATATATTTAAAATTTAAAATTTAAATTTCTCTCAAAATGTCATTCAAATTGCCTATTACAAACCCCTTAAAAATCGAATGTGTGAGGTTTCCTCTTAAGCTTAAGACCCTACAAATATCTTAATTATGTACTATATTATGCAGTGTTTGGAAAGAACGTCGTTCTTGAATCGTCCATGCGTTCACGTCTATTATAATTATTATAAGGATAAATGAACGTCACTCGTTTTTTTTTTCAAATAGAACGTGAACGTGAATGAATTCAATTTTTCGTGAACGTTCCAAACACTGCCCATTATAATAGGTGACTAATGAAAAAAAGTAAAAAACTTAAAAAATGAAGATAAAAATTATCAATTATATATTTTTAAAGACTTTGGTAGAAGAAAGACCTACAGCTCATATTGAGAAGAATTATTTTTATGTGGTAATGAGTTCCGGGAGAGACAGGAATACTCTAATACGGACAGAAAAATTACCATACTTACGTAGTTACACACACACTCACTCAAAGATGAATATCTAGATAGATAATATAGATATATTATATTTATATTTCTTACATACATATTTCATACAATATTTTAATCTACAAGTAATGTTATACGGACAATTATTCATCTTCAACCCCGAAACATAAAACTGGTTAGTGGCTAGGTACTGCACCAAAAACATTTATAATATTATTTTGTCCAGTGTGTATCTTTAGACTTTAATGTTAAGTTTATAGCATACTATCTGGTTAAGACTAAACAACTATTACTATTACACCAACGTCCAACGCCTCAACAGAATAGAATCTTCTTAGATGTTTATGCAAAAATTAACGTAAGTATAGGTACCCATATTTATACTTAAAATATACACATTAAACATTATTATATCGAGAGTATTTCGCATTCACAATAAATTATTAAAGAATATATTACATTAATAATACGATCGAAAACGTACATGTGTACTTATATATATTAAATTTTTTTTTCACCAAGTGAATTTAATCTATATAATACAAATTATTGTACTTTTTGCAGTTAAAACTTTTAAACAGTATTTTTTTATGTCATTATTTACATCGAAAAATAGAAATAAATACTTTTATTTAAAATGTATACAACGTTGTGTAAGTATTATTATGTCAACATTGTAATTTATCAATGTCACGTGGTACCTTTTTTATACCCGTCATCTAAAAAAAAAAGACAAACAACTTTTTTCACGTCGTACAAAGGATTAAAAAAGTATTGATCTAAAATGCATTCGTTGCTGAAATTCATATTTAGCGATAATGAACACACTACACGTGCAATTTAATGAAAAAATCTCTAACGTGTTTGGTATCAAATGATTTTTCTATCGTGAGAAAATAAAAGCAACCAACTAATGTGCCACCGAAATCGTATCTATAAAATACTAGCGTACATCATACGATATAATATAATTATAAGTAAAACTAATATATAATATTGTAAGTGTTATAGTTTGCACAAGTACCTACAAACAACTTTAAGTCCCAATTGTGTTACCTCACACGTCATGTACCTACGTTAGTAATTTCCAAGTGTTTCTAAATTCTAAAGTATCATTATTATGTATAGTATACGACACACTACGACAGTATATAATAAATAATCGTTGTTGTCTACAACAAAGAACAACCTGCAACGGAAAGAGCAGAGAGGAAATCCCCACTACAAGATAGGCGCAATAAATTTAAGAGGCAAATTTCAAGATCGTTAAATTAAGCTTGTTACATCCACGCCTCTCATGTAACCATGTAGATATTTATGAGAGAGGAGTGATTCGTATGGGTACAAATATATAATGTAGGTACATTAAAAAAAAATCCCCCTGGAATGTCACCCAAATCTTATAGTTGTGACACTGATCGGTGTTGGGATACAATCGGTAGACTAAGACTTAGACTTAAAAACCATATTATTTAATGTAGGTACTTAATCAATAACGGAAACTATAAATAATAGTACTAATAACAGTATAATCTTAAATAATTACCTATTATCACATACCTAAATATATTCGTATAATATAATAATATACCTAATATTATTATGAGTGTCTAATATAGGCAGATAGGCACTGCCTACATTATGTATAATTAATATAACCTATCTGAGTATCTACATAGATACAACATATACTATCATAGACTTAAGTACTTAACCCTATCCCTCCTTGGCTCTTTCGCCCGAATGTTTTTTTATTCATTGGAAGATTTTAGCTTTAAAATATGAAAATTCAAATTTAAATATTATAAATTATAATATATAGTTAGGTCTTAGGTATCTACCTAAGTACTGTTTACTATCAACATTCAACAGCTAAAAAAAAAAAAATATTGAGAAAGCAATAGCCATTACAGCAATAGTGAACGATTTTATGAGATAAAAATGAGTCACCGTTCAAAACATTCAAGAATGATGAGGGAACCAATTTGCACTTGTCAGTTGTCACACACCTCTATTTATTCTATTCGGAAAATAAACAATTGTATGTGTTTCAGTTTCCCAAGAACTATTGCGGTAGGAGGATAGACCGCATATTAATACTGGGAGACAATACATAAAGGAAATATCATGTAGGCTCGTAACTCTTTCCTGCATACTCGTAATACCAAAGTGCTTGCACGACCCGGAAAAAATGTCAACACAAAAATTATACTTATTGATAATAAAGTATGGACAGGATATAATAATAGTGTATAGAAAACTAGCTTCCGTGGTTCATAGGATTAAGTTTTTAGAATGTCTTCATTATCAGAGATATGGTACTAATAAGTTTACACTAGAATCGGGTCTACAAATTTAGGTGTGCCGTTTGTGAGCTTTACAATTTTTTTTCCTGTCTGGACCAATTTTACAATGGTATCTATACATATAACTGTCGAGATATAATAATTATATAAGTACCTATAGTTATTTCAATAAAGGAAAAAAAAAGTTTTTCGAATTAAAAATAGGATTAATATATTATATAGATGAAATCGATTATTTTAGTATTATTCACACAAAACTAAATATGTTATTGATTATATTTAAAAAATACACAATTAATGAATTTTTTTTTTAAATTAATAATAATCATTAAAAATTGTTTTTATACATAGGTAGACGCGTGGTAGGTACTACTTGATTATAAATATAACATTTGAAATAAAATTCAGTTTCAATAGATTATTATACACACATATTTAACTAAAAATGTACTTACAACATTGATTATGTTATAGTTTACTTTACTTGATTGTAACCGTAACGTCCGTAACACGATGTAAATTACAAATTAGGTATAAATATCAGATATCTACAGACATTACAATTTACAGGTATTCACAAACTCACAATAGACAATTTACGAAGTGTTTTACAGTGTTTGACAAGGATAACTAATGTTACAGCAATACAGCCTACGGGTGTTCGTATTTTATTCTATTTCAATAGGAACTCTTATTTTTTTGACTTGGGACGATTTTACCATTCTTGGTTTTCAAGATTTTCACCGCTGGCATCTTATAGGCTATCGTTTAATCATCATTGTGTGTGGTACATTATATTGGTTTTAAAATGTATACGACTTTAGCAGCAAGTCCTCATAAAAAATAAATACAAAACTAAGTACTTAAATACCTTTGAAATATATCAAACCTAAGTTATTTATAAAATTTATTTTTAAACAGTCATAATCCAAATCCCAAATCTTATTTTACAACGACTTGTTTTTTTATTTATTTATTTTTGAATCTGTCTCCAGCCATCACTCATCACCTTCCCGGGTAACATTTTCCAGAATATCAGATATCTATATGATATAATTTTAGATTTTGGGGAAAAAAACTTGACAATTTAATACAAGGTTCTTCATAAGTGGTAGGGTAGTTACTATTACTTAAAATATATTAAAAATACGTAAGCACAATTTTTGGATTTCACTATCAAGGGCATTATTCACTGGATGCAAGGGTGTACATTTGTGTCACATAGATGCTTTTATTACACTTTTATTTGTTGTTAAAATTGATAAACGCCTTTCTACAACTAATACAATTTTAATGTTTAGAAATACAAGAGGCCATTTTTTAATTTTAATTCTGCTACCTATGGATTCATTCCAGCATTGAAGATTTTAGGTAGGTGTGTTAGGTAGCTCTACCTACTTAAATAATATCTATAGGTATCTTTTTTTTTTTTTTGAAAATTTACAATCTGTATTTCAAAAACACAATAAGTAAATGCGATAGTATGTACAACAAACAATATAATATAATGACAGAATGACAGGATAAGGGAGGCCATCCAATGATAGAACCCTTTAGATTTAATAAAAATAATTTATTGATTTTTTTTTCTTTTATTGAATCATAGAAGATCACGACACAAGCGTCTAATAAGGCGGCGAGGGGGATTGCCAGGAAGTGAACGTGATGTTAGGTGGGAGATAAAAGAATTTTGGTGTAGATGTAATTTTTTGTAAAATTTAGTGTAGTATTGTTTAGTTAGTTGTTCAACAGTTTGTATTTTTAAGTCCTTGTGTAGTGTAATATTTGTTACATACCATGGGGCAGATGTTATGAAACGGAGGGATTTGGACTGGAATGCTTGGATGGTTTGTAGTTGGGATGGTTTGGCGCTACCCCAAATTTGAGAGCCATAGGTCCATATCGGTCTTAAAAAAGAATAGGTATCTTAAATTATGTTTTAAATTTATTATGTTTACTCATTTTTTATTGAAAATATATAAATAATATTTCAGCATTATTAGAAATTAATTTTATTATTATTATTATTATTATTATTAGCCTAGAACCGACTCGTTTTCATTTACATAAAAAATTAACGATCAATTTATTTCATAGTTTTACATTTCTTAAATCTTTTAGTAGGTAGGTACCTACCTATTTGAAAAAAGCTCTGATTGTGGTTGGTGGGTACTCTATGAAAAATTCTGAGTATACTTGAAAGTCGAAACCAGAGTAGCAGTAGATCAGATGGATTAGGTATCAACTTGCTCACTTATTTTATATGTGCATATGCAGTGGCAGCGTCAGGAATTTTATCTTGGGGGGAGGGTATTGGTGGCCTTTGAAAATTTGGTAGGGCCAAAAAAAGTCCCAATCCGTAGTCTTTTTCCCATTCATAGGCTCAGTATAGGGTAGGCAGGGTAGGGTAATGATTGTGTTGCATATACTAAGTTTTCACATAATTATTGGTTTTCATTTTAATTGATAATAAATATCATATAGGTATTATAGGTATATTATTTAATATTTACACACTTAAACAATTAGATATAAATATATAATTTTCAACAAACTTACATTAAAAATGGGTACTAAATTATAAATGTAAAGAATTTTTTTTTCTCTTATGGTTAGACGGTCAAGGGGGGCGTGGCCCTCCCAGGCCGCCCTGGCACCGCCACTGCACATACGTATAGAAAATAAAAAGTTTCTTGAATAGGTGCTCCTACTTTTGAGGATAGAGTTTTAAATCAATTTTGACTTCTTAAGTTTTTATTATAAAAATCAAATTATTTTGGGATGGTCAAAAGTTATACGTATTACGTAATTCAAATGTTTAACAGTGTGCAATATCGCACATTGGAGATATGATTTCATGTAAATGACGTAATTCGTAGAACTTTAAACCGTTGTCTAAAAAAATACTAATTATTTCTGTACATATAAAAACTTTGGAAATCAAAGTTACTGAGAAAAAATTGAGGTTCATAATGGGGAAACATATATAGGTTATAGGTATACCTATATGTATTATGTATATTATTAAGAAAATATTATTCTTCTGTGCAGGTAGATATGCAAGGTTAAAATTATTTATGACTAAATTATATGTATTTTAAGGACAGAACAATAAAAATATCTCAAATAAAATGTACAGTCATTCAGCCAAAATAAGGCATTTCTTTAAAAGTTAAACACTTAATATAGGATTAGGCATAATTTTTTTTACCCTGATAGTTTGTATTTACCGAATCTAGGACAAAATATCCAATTAAAAAAAATCATAAAAATGTATTATTAATACTCATATAATTGTTTTTATTTAAATTCATTATATTGTTCATTTTTTAATCACGTTTTAATATCATTTAATATCAATAATACTTTATAATACAGTAATAAAATAATAATAAAAATAATATGTTGCGTTATATATAATAATTATATCTTTAGTTATAGGAATTGTGTATTACACTATATCATCTAAAAGTTTTTAATAATATTTAAAAAAAATTGTTTAAAAAGAGGTAATAAATTATCGTATTATATTTGCTATTGCAATTAAAAAAATATCTAATTCTTTTTCACCATTAATATATTCAAGACGAAGGAGCTTAAGTTTTATTATTATTTTTACTATTATTATCTTATTACTATATTAAAAAGTATTATCAATGTTAAATGCGATTTAAAAAATAAACAATGTATCTAAAGAAAAAAAGGGGGAAAAATATTTTTTTTTATTTGGATATTTTGTCCCATATATTGATTATTTTATCCCTGGATATTTTAACTTGGATATTTTAGTACAGGATATTTTGTCCCAATACCGTATTTACCATTTTCTGGATGATAATAAGATGATAAAGAATATAATATTATGTCAGGCCCTTTGTCAACTTTGCAAAATAAAATATAGAGAAGAAAATTTTATACAACTTTCGGAGGAGACATACCTGAAAAATTGTTACTTACAAAAAACACAAATAATTGTTAGTGTAAAACTAAGTATATCAATAGATTTAACAGCCACCTTTAGAAAATAACAAAATGTATCACATGAAAAATATAAAACACTTAAATATCAGAAGTGTTATACTCTTATAAGTTGTAAGGCATAATATGACTATATAAGAAGGAAAGTGTACCATGTAATACTTGATTGTTCAATTCCTTTCAAAATAAAAATAAGTTGTATCATTTATTTTTATTGTAATAGTTTGAATTATAAATTATTTTGTGTATAATAAAATAAGTACAACACAATTATTTACATCTAAAGTGTCAAATTAACATAAAATATTGCAATAAATAAATGTTTTATGTAAATAACACAATCAATTTTATAATATCCATGTTTCCTTTGTGAGTATCTTATTGATATCATAGAGACTTAAACATGATTAAATTAGTAATGTATAATAGACAATACTAACTGACAAAACAAAATTGTTCACTATATCTGACAAAGCACAACAAATACAAAAAATAGTTGTGAAAACATAAATCATTTAAGCACTGTTGTGTATGAATATTTTAAGACAACAAAAAATGTACACTAATGCTCAACGATTAACTATAATGTAGTTACAATTATTAATACAGTAATAAATATCAAATAATTTGTATACTACACATATTAAGTACCTTTTGCTTGAAAAGAATCATTGGTTAGAAACAATATAGTAAACAATAATAGAAGAATTCAACCATTATGAACACGTCTTATCACATTGTATAGTAAACCTACATACCATGTATCAATGTTATATTCATTTAGTAGGAAATATTTTATATTAGATTTACAATGATTTTCTTGGTTTAGACATGTTGTGATTTATGTAATTGTTAAATGCCTATGTAAAAAAAACTATTATTGCCCTCCAACATTCATGAATAATTTTAACTGGAAATCATATAAATTAAATATTTTACACAAATATTAGAAAACAAATGATTTTCTTAACAAATAATTTGGTAAATTAAAATATTATTTTTTTTTTAATAAAAGTGCACAATGTTAATTTTAATACCAAATAAAAAATTTAACAACTGTCGTTGGACTTAAATTCAACAGTTACAAACAAAAAATAATACAACACTTTTTTTTATATAATAGTTTTAATTAAAAATGAAATTTAAGTATAATTTAAAAAAAAATACATAATAAATTTAGGTACCTATAAAAAATAAGAAAAAAATTATACATGTAATTCAGTTGGACAAAAATGATTTTCTATGAAAAAAAAATTAATACATACATACAAATAAATTGTTAGTTGTATACAGCAGATGATGTTTAGGAGACGAAAGATGGGGTTTTCGAGAAAGTTTATCAAAAAATTGATACATGGAATATAAAAAAAAACACATCGGTATATAAATGTGTCGTTTTTTTTAAATCTATCTCACGGATCACGTAGATTTTACTTTCTTGAATACACTATCCCAAAACGATTTCCACGTGTCTTGCACATTTTTAGCATATTGCTGTACAGTTGGATTTGCTTTAACCCATTTGTATGATTTAATAGATGCCTCAATACTGGTATGGACTGCTTGATCAAAAGTATTCCCAGCTTGTAGCAGATAATAGTTGACTTTAGAAGCTACTTTTGGGTCTAGATTTGATGTAGCTGATCCCCAAAGAGGCAAAATCTTAGCCTTGACATTACCATATGCTTTCTTGTCATAGTATGACAAGGCATACACAGATAAACCAATTAACACCGCAAACAAAAGAGTGTACGAAATGAGCATGCCGAAGAATCCAAAAACTAAATAAATAAAATTATGTTTAGAATATGAAGATACATTAAATTATGTAATGAAAAAATACCTTTAGACACAAAACCAGCTGGTTTCTTTTTGGGCTTGGTTTTATTTTTTGACTTATCATTTTGTACACCATTCGGAGAAGCTTTGCTACTTTTCTTATCCTTCTTTTTGTTTTGTTTGTCATCTAAGTAAAAAGAAAGTTTTCAAACTTGCTTGTATGTACAACTAATCAGTATATAATATTGAAAACAATTACCTTGCTTTTTGGAATCGCCCTTCAAATACTGTATAGCGTTGGCAGCTGCTGACTGGCATTGTGCATTGTTTTGTGATGGTCCAACTGCTTCGACCAGTTCTGGTTTCAGTGGATTGTTGCTCAAGTTCAAATGTTTCAACTGTTTGAGCTTACTCAAACCCTTGGGTAAATCTTTGATTTTGTTGTTGGCTAATGATAGGAAAGCAAGTTTTTGCAATGAACCAATATCACCAGCTACACTCTTAATCTGATTACCAGATAGATCGAGCTTTACCAGACTGGGCAACAATGAAAAAACATTCTGCAAACATTTAATTATAAAGGTATAATAAAATAACTCATAAAATAATGTGAATTATGTCCAAAAATTAAAACCAATACTGACAATAAAAAATATCAATACCGGTGCACACTTACGTCTGTTGAAGTGATTTTGTTGTTGGACAAGTCCAGATGAGAGACTTTCAACGGAGCCTAGAAAAAGATAACAACACGATTAGGTTTATAGGTTTGCCCTGTTGGCCAAAAGTTCGTTTGTAGGTTAATGCGAGACGGCGGTGTTGGCATATTGTCGAGACGCCTAATACACATCTAGCCGGACTGATCTGTTTGCGAAGCGAACACTTACGATTTCCTTGACGGGTATCTCAGTTAGGTTGAGACCGCTCAAGTTCAGCTTGTTGTTTTTCACCCTGTCCTTAATGTTGACCACGGTCATCTTTTTTCGTTGTGGGTAGTTAGACGCGCGTGCGATATGTGTAGATACGTCTGTTAGCGGGCTTTGCGTGTGTGAGCTGTGGTATTATTTAAATAATATGACTGTGGCTGGTGCAAGACGTACGGTTACCGTATTGCAATCGTGAAACTCTAAAAAAAAAACAAATAAGCACAAAACCGTCGCGAAGCCGCAGCGCGTGTGGGTCACGGGTTAGTCGGACGCAGCGGTGAGCCGTAAAGTGGAGAGAAAAAATCAAATTGTAAACACACTGGATTTCCGATACACGTATATCAGTGTTGGTTTGACACGTGTCAAGAGTGCCAACATTGCGCGTTCCCACCGGTGTCCGCCGGGTTGGTGTCGTTGGTTCGAAAGTGGTGAAGCCGTAAGGGGTTGCGGTGGGGGGAAGGCGGCCTACCACAGTACCACGTCGGCGGAGAACGGACGTTTTTACTTATTTAATTTTCCTGCCGGCCGACAGTATCGGCGCGCGTACAATCTTTTTTTCTCCCGTCGCCGACAATCGGATCGTCAAATCATCGCGTTCTTAAATTGTTGTCCCAAAAACAATCTACTATTGCACTATTTCACCGTAAAACCAAATAAAAAACAACATTAAATCACCAGATTTCCTTCATCATTTATCATAGAAAACCTTAGTGTTGTGTTTCTCGATTTTGAGTAACTGAGAACGGGATAGTACGTCAAATATAAATATGTCTATCAAGTATAAATTATTATACATTCAGCCATTTAGGCACACATACATTTATATTATAAGACTTTAATGATAACCGATTGTTGTTAATTATTGTTTATACTTTTTAGTTTTACCGATTATTTTTATAGAAAACCATGTTTTTACCTGGCCAACAATATTTAATAATTTAATAATTAAGTACGTAATATTTATTGCGATCGTAGCACGCCTTGTTTAGGTAGTATACGATATTACCACTATAGGAATGCAGATGATTTTTTTCGTGACCCTCACATGTATTTTTTTTTTTTGATTAGGCCCTTGTTTTATTTGTTTAAAATGTATTTCAAATACAAACGACACCAAGTATTTAAATACATTTTAAAATTATTCTTAATAATACTGTAGGTTATACATAGGTAGTTAAAAGTACATAATATACCTAGATTATAGGTACGCAACTAAATACATATGAATATAATAAATATAATAATTGTTAGTTGTATTACAATATTATTTTACTATTTTTAAGTTTTAACTGTTGTATGGATTAATCTTAACAATTTTTCAAAACCCACTTTCATAATTTTAGTATCATATGTCAATTATTATAAGTTTAATATTTTAGTTATAGACTACTAAGCTACAAGATTTAATCACAAATAAAAATTTGTAAGTATGCATGGAAGTCAATTTTTTTTTTTATCGTTTATTTAAATATACACAATCTGTAAATGTTGTTTTACAATAAGTGCATGTGATGGAGATGACATGGCTTGAGTGGCTAGAGATAAGAAGCCGCCCATTGGAGGCACTTAAGGTTAGGATTTTAGGCTAGGATTTTAATTTGCTAATAAGAGGGGGTGGGATTACAAAATTGAGGGGAGGTAGAGGTATAAACAATTTTAGATTAGTAGGTCACGACACCAGGTACGTTTTAGACGCCTTCTGGGGTCACCAGGAATAGCGTTGGAAGATAGCTCGGAAATCAGGGAATTACGATGGCTGTGGAACTTGGAGTGTGTGCGTTTGTAGAAAGTTTTTGCGACGTTTTGGACTGTTGGAATGGCTAGATCTTTGTGTAGATTGTCGTTGGATACATAGTAGGAAGCTTTGGTTATTTGACGGAGGCATTTTGATTGGAAGATTTTAATTTTGTTTAAGTTGGACTTTTTGGCTGCACCCCAGAGTTGGATACCGTATGTCCAGATCGGTTTGAGTAGGAGTTTGTATAATAGTAGCTTGTTTTTTAAGTTGTTGTATTGTGATGTGAGGAGATAACGTAATTGGCGAGAGCGATTATTTAAGGCAAGTCTTTTGTTGTGGGTGTGAGTTGCCCAAGTTAACCTGCGGTCTAAATGTAGACCTCAGTCAATTTTTTTAAATTTATATTTATAAATTATAATCAATAATATCAAAATGATTTTAACAAGAAAAGATCATGCTTATTTTCGTTCAATGAGTTTTCGTGGCATGGAAATACTGAACCACTTATAAATTATTATTACTTTATAATCAATGTGTTAAATAATAATTTTTCGAAATATTCGTTTAATTTGCCTATTTAAAACCCCTTAAAAATTATGTGTAAAACACAAGACGTCACGTTAGTACATTTTATCAGGGTAAAGTATGTTATTTAATATATACTTATATGTGATTCTCAATTTATTATTAAAAAATTATACATATTAATTGTCAATTGATGACTGAATACAAATTGTTCTATGTGTTAAGTTATGATATACGTTTTTTTAACCAGGCATTTAAACAGTATAATTGTATTAAACAATGTTTGGTTTTATAGTTAAATTACAAGCAGAGAATAAAGATACAGAAATGTAATAAACAGCATTGATTCAATAGACTCAATAGAGAATTAAATTCTTACACTTCAAATTTGGATGCACACATAAAACGCATTGATTTTACTTATGCTAGGAGTTGAATAAAACTAAGATTTTAATGTCGTTTGAGTAACGAAAATGGAGAGTTTAATCAAATAATATTGTTCCACATCACATATTGTTTTAAATAGTCAAATATTAATAACATTTTAAAAGCAGATTTAAATCAACTTTTGGTAAGTATTCAGTTTTAGAAATGATGTTCATTTTACTTAGGCAAAATATTCTAACTACATCCCAGATTCTATAGATAATGAATTTGATATCTGACATTATAATTTATAGTTAAATCAACACCATGATAATAATATTTATTTTTGTAAATATAGGTACACAATACACAAAATTAAACAGATAAATAAACAATATGCAACACTCCCTGTAATCTGATGTGATTTATAACATAGGTAATAGTGATTAATTATTATGATGACTGCATGTAAATAACTAAAAAAGAAACACACCAGTAGCGCCATCTGTCCAGTTGAATAAAATCCATAATAATAACGACAATATCCGTTTAGGTGTGTAATGTGTAAACAATGTTAGATATCGTTACTATATTATTATTTGGTAAGTAAAATTATTTTTCAGGGTGAAAGTCGGGTAACTAATTTGTATAAAAATAAAATAATAGTTAATTATTATTGTTTGTTACTCAAATTTACATTAAATATCATGGTACAATATATTTACGTTTGTGGCTTATTGACTCAAAAACTAAAGTAGGTAGGTGCGAAATCTCTGTTTTTCCCCAAATAAAAGGAGAAGATAAATTAACACAAACGTCATGCCGAACTACTCGTACAAAAAATGCAATCTTTTATAGCTTGTTGGTTGTACAATTAAAACGGTTTTTATGGACGAATTCGGTCAATGTACAATATTAGTACTAGTAATATACATTTACCTATATGGTTATATGAGTGATATTACTATATCCAATTATTATCAATACCTACTAATATATTATAGGATAGTATAAAATAATTAATAATATAAAATATAAAAATGTAAAATTTGTTTACATGTGGATTGGAAATATTAAGGTACCTACTTAAATAAAAAGCAAAAACGGCTATCTCCAAATATGCGGTCTACCAAAATGGACGTGGTCTACCGTAATAATATTAAAGTAATAAAGTACAATAAAAGTATAATTTAAAGTATAAAAAAAATTTAATTTATCTAGGATCCACCTAACCTAACCTAACCACAAAATTATCTACCATAATAATATAAAAGTATAATAAAGTATAATTTAAAGTATAAAAAAAAAATTAATTTATTAAGGATCCACAAAATTATCCACAACGCATAATTTCATATCTCTAAGAAAAGCATCAAAAATATTATCTGTTTTATTTAATCCTCGCCACCAATACTCGGCTAAGTACCTATCTAAGAGGTCTTCATTAGTACCACACATTTTTGTAACGATTTTGAGTCTAAGAGGCCTCCAAAGACTCAAAATTTAAAAAAAGTTGTATTACTACAAACGACACTAAACCAACTAACCCAGTAACCTTTATGATAAAATATATATCGTTATGAAAAATTAAGATAAAACATATAAATTGGTAGATAATAAATATAAATGATGCGGGATTCCCAGCTATATAGGTAGAACACATAACATTGATAGACCGCATACTATACTCATATTTATAATTACGTAGCATACAAAACGGAGGTAGACCGCATATTAGGAGATAGCCGCAAAAACATATAGGTAAAACATTAGATGGCAAACTATAATATAGGTACCTTATATTATATCCATGTGGGACAGTGCATGGGTATACTAGCCACTAGGTAGGAATACAGTATAGTGTATACCAATAACTACATTACAAATATTTTATATTATATTTTATAGTATAAGATTATAAAATAAAATAGTCCATTTACCATTTATATCAAATAGCCCTAACTTTGGGAATTTGTAATATTACCGACCTACTGATATTATGAAAGGACAGATTGCTACCGTAGACATAAAGAAAAATAAATGGCAGAGTGTATGAGTGTATGAAACAACACGAATGATCTATGATTCTATTTGAACTTCAAATCGACAGGCATTATAAATTATATATACCAATTAATATTTCTTAAAAAAATTTCACATTCCTACTGGCTATTAGGTAGCTTCACGTTTATCGGGTTTGTATATTGTACAAATTTAAAATTATAATTATCAATAGTGTATTAGTGTGTATAGGTGTATAGCCTTATTATTTATATATAGTTATAGGTACCTATGTTATTACAAGTTATGAAAAAAAAAATATAATCAATATAATAGTTTATACATTTTTCTTTATTGATATTAAACATTAACATTTATCTAGCTTTTAAGCGTTTGTCTGGAACCAGTTTTTTTTGGCTCACGATCACTGCAAGAAACACGACAAATTTTTGAGGAGAAACGCTGGTGCGAAGTCAGAGAATGCCTATTGCCAGTATGCAGACATTTTGCACCAAAGACAACAATACAATTTGCGGTGAACTGTCGGACCAGGGCCTGCAGGGTGGTTCTCGTTGGGCCTCGGCGATGGCGCATTGCACTACAACTTACGGCCGACTGCGATTCAGTCAGCAGTACTCTCGACGAAGCGAGAAGATGTGGTGTTCGACGGCAATAAGTAATAACTATGGCATGCAGCAGCAACAGAAGCCAGAATAGG